CTCCTCCTCCATCCTCCTTCTCTCTCTCTTCCTCCTCCTTCCTCTTCTCCTCCTCTCTCTCCTCCTTCTCCTTGTCCTCCTCTCTCTTCTCCTCATCCTCCTGCTCCTTCTACTCCTCCTCTCTCTCCTCCTCCTCCTCTCTCTTCTCCTGATCCTCCTGCTCCTCCTCACTGGTTATCTGTTTCTCCCCTGTCATCTCTTTCTCTGCCTCTGCTGTAATTCTCTTCTTAAAATAAGAACAGATGTCTGTGGACTTTCTTCATAAGCCATAAACAATCACCAACTCATCCAGTTAGCTACATAACAATGTCAAAAACACATTAAAAGCTAACTTATTGTTAGTTTTATACGCTTTCTCACCGTTAGAGCAGGTACGGGCTGAGCCATAGTTCTCTGAGCGCACAAGAGCGGTGTGATTACCTGTACCGGTAGCTCATTTGCGCATGCGCAAGCAAATATCGGGTAGGGGAGGGGGAGAGCAGGAGGACTACAGCGTGCGAGGAGGACACTCCCTATATATATATATATATATATATATATATATATATATATATATATATATATATATATATATATATATATATATATATATATATATATATATATATATATAAAAACTGTAACTGGAGCGTGTAACAAAAGTAATTTCCCTCTGGGATTATTAAAGTATTTCTGATTCTGATTCCCTGTAGTTTTAAAAAGATTTTTAGGAGACTATTGGTTTTTAATGCAAATGATCACAAATCACAGGACAGTTTAAGCTTTGCCAAAGCTATAGTTGCTTTTAAGTATGAATGAAATAAAATCACTACTGCTTCAATGTTTAAACAAAAACATCTTTAAAATTGCAACATTTGGGATTGCAGAATAGGGGTGGACAATAATTCAATAATAGATCACATAATATTTGTCACTGATTGCCAATTCAGGTTTTACTTTCTATTTTTTTATGAATGATTTTTAAAATGTCATATCATAGTATTTTAATAAACTTTGTGAATTTACTGAACTTATGGAAAAGTCATTCATTTTTCCAGGATCCTGCAGTCATTCTTGGCAAACTTTTTAAGGTTTTTATATAGTATAGGGAATATATCATTTATTATTTATCATGTTATCACGTGAATTATGGCCACATCCCCCAGACCTATGTCAGTTTAAATACTGATACCAGTATTAAAATGTAAGTGAATTTTACTACATCACAACTACGTCCACAACACTTTTTTCCAGTCTTCCTCTGTCCAATGTCTGTGTTCTTTTGCCCATCTTAATCTTTTTCTTTTATTGACCAGTCTCAGATATGGCTTTTTCTTTGCCACTCTGCCCTGAAGCCCAGAATCCCGCAGCTGCCTCTTCACTGTAGATGTTGACACTGGTGTTTTGTGGGTACTATTTAATGAAGATGCCAGTTGGGGACCTGTGAGGCGTCTGTTTCTCAAACTAGAGACTCTAATGTACTTATCTTCTTGCTCAGTTGTGCAACGCGGCCTCCCACTTCTTTTTCGACTCTGGTTAGAGCCTGTTTGTGCTGTCCTCTGAAGGGAGTAGTACACACCGTTGTAGGAAATCTTCAATTTCTTAGCAATTTCTCGCATGGAATAGCCTTCATTTCTAAGAACAAGAATAGACTGTCGAGTTTCAGATGAAAGTTCTCTTTTTCTGGCCATCATCTGTCCAGAAACTCAATCTGCTAAAAGGAAGGTCAGTTTTGTAGCTTCTGTAATGAGCTAAACTGTTTTCAGATGTGTGAACATGATAGCACAAGAGTTTTCTAATCATCAATTAGCCTTCTTGGCCAATAAGCAAACACATTGTACCATTAGAACACTGGAATGATAGTTGCTGGAAATGGGCCTCTATACACCTATGTAGATACTGCACAAAAAACCAGACATTTGCAACTAGAATAGTTATTTACCACATTACCGTTCAAAAGAGAAATCATGTATCTCCTATGAGAAAATAATTTTAAAATATCCTCCTTACATATAAAACCCTATATAATTCAGCTCCATATTAGCGATCCGACTTGTTGTTCCTTATGTTTCCGCACAGAGCATTTCACTCCCAAACTGTAACGTTTATTAGTGGTGTCTATAATTTGTAAAAGTAGGATGACAGGCAGACCTTTTAGCTACAAGCTTCCTCTCCTACATAACCCACTTCCAGTTTTAGTAAGTGAGAAGGACACACATTTAACTTTTGAGAGTTGGCTTTAAACTTCCCTATTTGACAAAGTTTATACGGTTAGAGTGACTTAGGTTATTCTGAGTCATCTCTGTTGTTAGTAAATAACCAAGGAAACTTTATTTTTATAGCTTTTTTCACAAACACAGATCCAGAAATCACTTTGCATACATAAAAATCTGAGAAAATATAAAAAATAAATAAAAAGATAACATAAAGCTAGTTATGCTACTATTGCCTTAGGCTGCTGAAAGACATAAGAATCCGTTTCCTCGCTCTACTTAATTCTACCTATTCTTCAATTTTGCATGATTTGTCAGTGCAACTTTAAATTTTGAACTCTCCTTACTTTTACTTGAAAAATAAGCTACATCTATGAAACCGTCCTCAAGGGAGCCATCGACTAGGCTTATGGTTTCTACAACTTCCATTATAGATGAATAGAGTTGGGCCTGTTTTTCAATGTTTAGTCCTGTCTTCCTTCTGGACATAGCAAAGGCTTTTTGCTATGAACGCTTTTAAGTTAATCTGCTGAACTGTTTCTTTTCCAGCCAGAGCCAACAATAGAGTTGGTTTACCATCACATTATTTAACATAGAAAGTATTCATTGCTTCTATCTTTCCTTTGAGTTCCTGCCTCAGTCTTCTTCAACCCCCTAGTGGGTCATTGCAGATGGCCATTTGCTACCATCACACTAATCACTATCCATAAGGATGGAATTCTGTAAAGTGAATGACAATAGGTGCAATCAGCTGGGTTTCCTTAGATAGAACATTTTTAACCAATCTTTCTTTACAGAATGATCTGATTGAAATGTTGCTGTAAAGGGCCTACAGATTACATGTCTTGTGAATCGGCTTTATATACAGGAGTGGAATTTAATCAACTTGAATTTAATTTACATTTATTTAATTGAATTTTAAGAGGAAGTTTGTGTTCAATTTGTCTTCAGTTACTTAAATGACCATTTAAAGGTTTATTTATTTTAGTAGCTCAGTTCACCAAGTGGCAAAGTTTAATAATAAAATTTATTAATATAATTATAGATATCGGATATAAGTGTTGGTTCACCTCTATAAGAAGGGGACTAGAGGTGTTCAAATATGGGGGGTTTCACACTTTTCAGCCTCCCCTGAAGACCCATGTCGGGGTGCTGGTGAGTAGAGTCGGGCTGATTGTCGAACCTTGGCTCCTGGAGGAGCCAAGGTTCGTGCAGAGGCTCTTTACTAGGAGCCAACCGGTCTCTGTGCAAGTGGAGCAGGAGTTTGGTCCACATCGCCAGCGTTAAGTACTGTATGTTGAACCCTGATAGGGCTGCCTTTTGTCACTGGTCTTGTGCATAACCTTTACAGACAGGATTTCCATGCACATCCAAGGGTCAGAGGGGGTCTGACTTGGGTTCCAGAGGATTTTTGTCTCTATGTTTCACAGATGACATCGTTCTACTTCCTCTCTCCTGCCAAGACCTACAGCATGCACTAGGGAGGTCCGCAGCCCAGTCTGTAGGGGCTGGGATGAGGATCAGCTCTTCTAAGTCTGGGGCCGTGGTTCTTGACCGGAAAAAAGGTGACTTCCCCTCTTCAGGTCAGAGGGCAGTTCCTGCCTTAAGTGGAAGAGTTCAACTATCTTGGGGTCCTGTTCACAAGTGAGGGGAGAATGGATTGGGGGATCGATAGACAATCAGTCACGTTCCTATCATCACCTATGGTCATAAAATCTGTATTATGACGAAAGAATAAGATCCCTTATACAAGTGACTGAAATTAGCTTTCTGCACAGCGAGGCTGGGCCCTCCATTAGAGATAGGTTGAAGAGTTACAGTAGGTCACCTGAGAGAGGCTCAGAGTTGAGCCACTTCTCCTCCACATCCAGACGAGTCAGCTGAGATGCCCGGACATCTTTATTCGGATGCCCTCAGGATTCCTCCCTTGGGAGATTTTCCAGACATGTCCCACCAGGAGGATGCCCAGGGGACAACCCAGGACACGCTGGAGGGACTATGTCTCCTGGCTGGCCTGGGAGTGCTTCCCCAGCAGAGCAGTTGGAGTTACCTGGGAAGATGGGAGTGCTGTGACTGCTGCTCTCAAGACCCAGTCCCACATAAACTGAAGATGACAAGTATGAGTATTAAACATAAGAATGGATTAAATAAGAGTGGGCTTAATAAAAAATGTCTTTAATATGTGGTTGTTTAAGGATTATTTTAAAAAAGTACTTTTTATGCGACAAATCAGTCTAATTTTAAGCCAGTTGCTAATTTATTGCATCTGACTGCAAAATAACAAAAGAAACCCAACAACACTACTGTTTTATTTTAAAACTAATGTAATAACACACCATAGGAGTCAACTGACAGTGATCAAATAGTCAAGAAGTGATTGGATAGTAAATACCACCTCATAATTCATGTATTACTTAAATCAGAGTTAGTTGCTTCTCCAAATTGTATGGCACTTTTAATTGGGATTATGTTTACGGCGTAATAGTATTCTCTTACAACCTTTCTAGTGAGTACATGACAAAAAAGGGAGGGTTGAGGATTTTATTTTGTTAAATTAACCGACTATTTGAGACCAGCCTGAGCTCTAGCACAAACAACAACCCTCCAAGGTGGATCAAACTCTGATTAATCGAAAAATAATCTGTGTGACATAAACAGAGAGCGAAATAAAATACTGAACTAAGACAGAAAGTTTTTTTTGTAGAAGCTTGACTTGGCAAAATCTTTCCTGTTTGAACAAAATAAGCAAAGCTCAGCTCCTGCTCGCCCTCCCTCACCATAAAAATGGGTGTTTTCACATTTTAGAGTCACACCCACAATCCAAGACTTCTGTCTACCTGTCAGCTGAGATCCCAGCTGCTCTCATGTATATATATCCTAAATATTAGATTGAATCTGACTCCTGCTCAGACAGGTGGAAGTAACTTAAACTATTTTGTTAAAACATGGACAGCCAAGGAAGAAGGGTGGTGGTTTGTGACAATGGAACTGGGGTGAGTTGCTTTAAGCTATTTCAAACAGCAGTCATTGCATCATTAAAAATTCTTGCTTTTTTTAATACAGCCTCTATCCTGCTCCTGTGAACAAGGTGTGCAGCATTTCTAACAGCTTTTTAATTTCTATAGAAGGTGTTGATTTCAAGCTCAGATCTGTATGTTTGAACATATGCAGAAATACTACAGAGCGATAGGCTTGGTGCATACCGGGCCCCTGTTTCAATGAGTCTGGACTTGTCACTTCTGCTTTTAAAAACATCCATAAATGGTTGCGATGGTTTGAAGGGAGTGTGCATTGGAGGCAAAGCAGGAAGAAGTATACGAGTTAGAAAAATTTTCAAATGAGCACACTAACATTACATGCTAGGATGTATAAATGCTTATTTCAAAGAAAAAAACTGTAAATAACATTTCCACAAAAATTTTGATCACCATGTTTTATTTTCTTTTGCTAGGAATGTATTACATTGCTTCAGGCTAAGGAATGTGTATAAGACTAAACAGACAAGCTGAGACGGCAAATTGCATGTTGCAGCCATGACATAAGGAAACACATTCAGTGGTTGATTTCATGGCTTTTACATGCTGCTGTTATCTTTGTATTTAAAAAGGATTCATGCTTACACCTCTCCTCGTTCTAACTTCAAAATATCAATTGGATTTTCCACTAGCACCACAAAGTCTGAGTTACAGTTGATAAGCAGAAGTGCAAGCTTTATTTACACACCTAGGATAAACTTCTATTGTTTCTTTTTCACTTCCCTACACAGTTCGTCAAATGCGGCTTTGCTGGGTCCAACTTCCCTGAACATATTTTCCCAGCCCTGGTGGGAAGGCCAGCCATACGGTCAAACACCAAAGTGGGAAACATCGAGATTAAGGTGAAATATGATTAAAAGAAGAAGATCGTTATAATAAAATATCTTTTAATTTTCTTTAAATGTAGTCATATTACAAGCACCAACGTTTGTGTTTTTAGTACCAACATAAAGTAGTCTGTAATAGCACAGCATAACTGCACACAGATAAAGAGGTGCTAATCTAATTTTATTGATTTCCAGATCTTTTGCTAAGCTTGCTCTCGAAGTGTAGGTGTTATATTTAAGTGCTGTAACAATAAACCTGGTCTTTTTTCATTAAGGTAACCTGTGACTGTAAATCATAGAGCTTCATGCTGTTGTAAAGAAAATAAAAATATGCAGGCAGAAACTAAAGAGGCAGATTATGTCTATCTATGGTGGCCCTGAAGTGCAAACCACATCAAGTAATCTTTAAACACATCTACAAATAAAAAACACAACTACATATTCAATATCACAGTAACATTAACTTAAAATAATTTAAATAAAAAAAAGATATCCCGCATTTTTGCACATTTAATGCTAATTTTTGCTACTCATGTTAAATCCCAAGAAATGTTGAAAATCCGAAGCTTTATTTGTCAGGGTTTGGTTGTGGTTTAGAGGACCCAAATGCAGAGGCAGAGAGGCTGAGGTGATTTCTTGTAGTTTTAATGCAAATACTAATAACAGAGGCAAAATCCAAAAATCCAACTAGAAATGTAACACAGACCAGAACCATGGAGACATCAGGGGAAAACACTCACGAGGAGCCAGGTAGAGACGAGGTGAGAAGACAACAGCGACGACAGGACCAGCTGCAACAAGGAACCAACAAGGAGTGACTGCAGAGTAGCTGACAGAGACAAAGGCAGGGCTAACGAGCTGACAAAGAGCAGGTGTGAGAGGAGACAACGAGGAAGTCAAGGGGAAGGGAACACACACGAGAGGGCAACAGAGGAAAACAACAGAAAAACCTGAGAAACATAAATCTAGAAACTACAAGAAAATAGGAAATAAACCAATAAAACTAGGACACATGGAGCAAATTAAAGGACAACAGAACCAAAACCATGACATTATTAATTTATACATATTCTAAACACAAAAAAAAGCCTTCAAGTAAGTGCAATTTTAACAAGTCATACATTTTACACAAGAGAAAAGATGCTTCCAGTGTTTTTATTGTGACTGTGACCTCCACCACTAGGACCTGATGGTTGGGGATGAAGCCAGTGAGTGCCGTTCTCTGCTGGAGGTGTCCTACCCCATGGAGAATGGCATGGTGCGATGCTGGGAAGACATGCTGCACCTCTGGGATTATACGTTTGGCCCAGATCGTCTCAACATCAACCCCTCAGAATGCAAGGTGCTGAACATACACAGATACTTTTTGCGCCACTGTAAACATTGCTAATTGTTTTTGTGGATCTACTTTTGTTCCAAACTGTAGACTTTCTTTAGAAATACTAACAGCTTACACAGTAGATCTGTAGAACAGTTAGAATTAAAACAATTTAAGACTTTGCAGATGAGAGTAATATGCTGTTTAATTGTTGAATTGTTGGAAACAATCAAAGTCTCAGATCAAAAATCCAGGCTGGTGAGTTTAGTCCTGTTTCTCTGACTGTGCCTGGCTGGATGTGCTTTCTTCATCCGCTGACATGGGAGCTGGCTCGGAGCCCCTCTGCCTGGCTGGGTGTTTCCTGGACGGGGCCGCCTTTAACAGCTGCTTTTTGTATCTCTGCTTCTGTCTCCTTGAACCCCAGTTGGCCTCGGCAGATGGTGTCGTCTATAATTCTCTTCTTGACGACTTAAAATTGAAGCTAAGTTTTATAAAAATTCAAAGTTCTTAAAAAGCAGAAAAAGTCTCAAACAAAGATCAAAAAATTTAGGCAGAGGCAGCTGAGTCAGGGTCCAGTGTGTTTATTGCTAAACACAACACATTCACACTGAGCTGGTCACCGGTGAGCCGAAGCTGAACAAATGGTGAACACAGCTCCCTTTTATACATTTCTTATCGGTGGAAAACCCCCTTCAGAACATATTTCAGTCTTTGGTAAAGGTCACATTGATATTTATCTGCAAAACACAGTGACATTCATAGACACATCTCATTCTTGTGAGAGCAATCTCTCAGGCCATGAAAACATCTGGTGCATTCAAATCAGAAACTTATGACGGTTTAGTCACAAACATGTCAGAACACATCTTTCCCTTGCTTCAAGCCATGTCAGTCTGGCCTACTGCTCCCCCTTCGTATCTTAGTCAAAGCATCACCCTTTCTGGGACCATTACCGCTCCGTGTGCCTTGAAAATAACAACTCTTTTTGTATGGCCAAATTTTGCTGAGCTGGGCAACCTTGAGATGTCAAATATTTCATTTTTATTGAGTGTGCTTTCTTATCACTAAGGGGCCTCAACCCTGCGTTGTCCTGCAGACTTCACTCCTATTGGGGCCAGGTGCAATAGTTACACATACTCACTGCTCTGCTTTTCTCCTCTCTGGCATTGAATTGCTCTTATAACAGTATTTGGGAAAACAACTTTAAACTTATAAAACATTAACTTTATTTTATCTTATGATTAGTGCAGATTAATACACAACAATGGCTGCTCACACTGAGCCTGGTTCTATTGGATGTTTCTTCCTGTTCAAAAGGGAGTTTTTCCTCTCCACTGTCGCTACAAGCATGCTTAGTGTGAGGGATTGCATTCAAGTCAATGAGTCGATGCAATCAACCGGTTTTCCTAAGATAGAAAACTTTGAATCAATTTAACTGTATGACCTGGTGAACTGGAAAGTGCCTTGAGATGACATGTGTCGTGAATTGGCGCTATAGAAATAAACTGAACTGAATTGAGCCTGGATTAACCAATAAAAGTGCAGCAGTTTAATTTGAGCATCAACATTATGATAGAATCAATGATTATTTAGAGATTCTTAGAAGCCTGGTTCATTTATTGCTAGGCCTGAAAAATGCATGACTGAAATAGTTTTAATTAATTAATTAATCTAAATGAATTCAACTGATACTAAACAGAATCCTAGTTGAATCATTATTTAAAATTAAGGAAAAAACATTCAGCATTTGATGTTATAGAATTAGAAAAGCTCACGTATCTGCACAGTGTATTCTCATTATTAGTTCGTATGAAATTGTACCAAAAGTTATGCACCGTAATTTCGTAGGTTTTAAACGTTTTTTTTCGTCACATTTCGTCGTATTTTTATGTCTTGCCTCGAGAAAAGATATCCTTGTGCATGCGCATCTTACGCACCATTAAATAACATAGAATTTAACATACAATTAACCCTAACCCTGACCCTAACCCTAAGATACAAAACAGCAAGCAACCTAGTTAGAGACCTGAAGAAGTGATTATTGCACAGTTTTTCCCAGTTTTACGTCCGTCCGCGGATCTGCTTTTTTCGTCTGTCTGCCTGCGCATGCGCACTGATCTGTATTTTCGAGGGAAGACGTCCAAAACGTACGAAATACTGTGCATAACTTTTCGTACGATTTCATACGAACTGATAATGAGAATATGTTGATCTGCATGTTTCATATGCATCTCAGGTTTAATGTCTTTACAGCTATGGACAAACAAAAGACAATGGATTTGGTAAACTCTTTACAAATCAAAGAACAATTTAAACATATTCTATTTTTAGAGAACTCTCAGCATTAAGAGAACTCATTCTAGGTCTCTACCGCTGACTATACCTCTGCATTGTTTCTAGTCTTAAATTCACATTTAAAGGCCGCATCCGTCCTAGGCTGCACTCTGGACTCAGTGGAGTAAAATGGCTGAGATGAGGGTGCGGTCCAAGCTTACATCCATCATGGACAACACCTTCCACCCTCTCCTCCAGACTGTAGAGGAGCTGAGCAGCTCCTTTATTGAAATACTCTTACATACTGTTTACAAAAAGGAGCTCTACCGCAGGTCATTCATCCCTGCTGCAACCAAATTCTACAATGCGACACTACAACGGCAATAACTTTGCAATGTACTATGTGCAATTTACCATTTGATACCCTGTGCAATAACCTGTTTCTCTATATTTGACAACCACTGCAATAAGTATATATATACATATAAAAACATAAATGTCCATCTATATAAATACACGTTAATACCCTATTTACTCACTATAAACGCTTTCACTCAGCCTGTTTCACCTGCAAGGCCACACAATTCTCTGAGTGAGGATGTTTGTAGACCCGACATAGCTTTTTCCCAAAACAAGCCAGATTCTTTCTCAAGGTTTATTCATAACATGTTACTGTTAAGCAGAGTGTCCGTAATTTGTTTTGACTCTAACTACTTTCCATTGCTGTAAGTAAGGGGGAACATACGCTGCTCAGGCAAAACAGGGCTGAATACACTGCCATAAGGGCTGTATGATGAACTGTTCTCTCTTTCCAAAGATATGAAAATAAAGTACTGGCTGAGTGAAATCCATCGATATCTGTTTATTTAACTAGGGTAAATATTTGATTACTTTTTTCCCACGACATGTATATATTTGAGCTGATGTAACGAGTTCATTTCTCTACTGTGAGATCAATAAAGCCAATCAACTCTGCTCATCTTCATAAATATATTTTCTTTTGAAGATCTTACTGACTGAGCCGCCCATGAACCCCACCAAGAATCGAGAGAAAATCGCTGAGGTCATGTTTGAAAAATACCAGTTCCATGGTATCTACGTGGCGATTCAGGCTGTGCTCACCCTGTATGCCCAGGGTAAGGTCACATCGACTTGCTGCTTCCAAGGCCACACTCTAAATTGATGTTTTACGTTTTGACTCATCAATCAATCAATGGGTCTGTTTTCTTTAGGATTTTAAAAATCCTCTGTTTGTTCAGGTTTGCTTACTGGCGTGGTTGTAGACTCAGGAGATGGCGTCACCCACATCTGTCCTGTCTACGAGGGGTTTTCTCTACCCCATCTCACGCGCAGGTTGGACATCGCAGGACGTGACATCACTCGCTACCTCATTAAAGTGAGGAGAAAAAATAAACTTCAATCCCTCATAAACGTTAAAAGTTTGATTAAAAAAACTGATGTTTTATTTTCCCACTAGCTCCTGCTGCTGCGCGGCTACGCCTTCAATCACTCGGCTGACTTTGAGACTGTGAGAATGTTGAAGGAGCAGCTCTGCTACGTGGGATACAACATCGAACAAGAGCAGCGCCTGGCCCTGGAGACCACCTACCTGGTAGAGTCCTACATGGTACGTTTAGGAGAAACCTCCAAGGAAGTTTTTTATTTGATCCTGTTCTAGATATTCCTAATGATTTTATTGATCCATAACTTTGGTGCAGCTCCCAGATGGAAGGCAGGTGAATGTCGGTGGGGAACGATTTGGGGCCCCAGAAGCTCTTTTCCAGCCTCATCTTATCAATGTGGAAGGAGCCGGCGTGGCTGAACTGCTCTTTAATACTATCCAGGCTGCAGACATTGACCTGAGGTCAAAGTTTCCCCTCTAGTTCACTTTAATAAACCAGTATTAAACATAATAGTGACATGTTTCTACTGTATTTTCCTGAGCAGGGCTGACTTCTACAAGCACATCGTTCTATCAGGCGGGAGCACCATGTACCCAGGCCTTCCATCCAGACTCGAAAGAGAAATCAAGCAACTCTACCTGGAGAGGGTGCTTGATGGAGACACACAGAAACTATCTGTAAGCCTTCAAAGAGTATCATTTAATTTTAAATATTGATTTTCAAATTGTTAATTCATGGCCTTATACATACAGTATAGGGTGCTATTTGTAAAGTTACACAGTCAAAAATTGAGAGAAATATTTTTGGTTATTTTGTTGTAAACGAAAAATAAGGGGATTATTTTTTCCAAGTCAGTTTTTCATTATGTCATTCATGTATTTATAAAAAAGATACAAGCTAAATATTCATTATTTTAACTAAATATTACATTTTTTGAAATGAATACTTAGTTTGGCCAATATTTAGTTTGCAAATAAATATTTAGTTTTCTAAATTTTTATTTAACAAGCTAAATATTTAATTTGGAAACTACATATTTATTTAAAAAACTAAGTATCTAGTTTGGAAAATAAATATTTAGTTAAAATAATAAATATTTAGTTAAAATGATAAATATTTAGTTTGGAAATTTAATATTTAGCTTGCTGACAATTTTTTTAACTGACAATCTAAATATTTAGTTTGGAACTTTGATTTCTATAAATTTATGAATTACATAAATAATGAAAATAATGACTTGGAAAAAATAACCGTTATTTTTCTCTTAAAATGTGCTAAATATCCATAAATATTGCTCCTAATTGTTGACTGCATAACTTTACAAACAACACCCCATAAGGTACATAAGGTACTCTCTACAAAACAACATCTATCAAATAAGTAGATTTTTTATTTTTTTTATTTGCCAATTGAATAAGAGGAATTTTGTTTAAAATAAGAAATAAACAATCCAATTTACTTATTCCAAGTGCACAATATCTAATCATCTTATTTTAAGGGCAAAAATACTCAATCACTTGGTAGTTCACATTGTTTAGTACCTTTACATTTTCAGATAAGTTTTTGCTGTGATGATTTATATTTAAAATAAGAACCCCCTTACCCTTTTTGAAGTTAATAATATTTTAACTTATTTTATGAGCAAAAATATCAAATCTAATGGCAGATTGTGTAATTTACCTCCTCAAATTAAGGGCTAATACAGTGCTTTTAAGAAACAAATTTGGCTGTATTAGTTAGATCTACATATGTGGTAAATAAAAGGTTTAAATGTTCTAATATAATGTTAAAAAGTTAGACACTGTGTTTTTCTAACAAATATTCTCGGATTAATCTGCATTATTTCTATAATTGTCTATAGGATTGTAGATAAAGATCAAATTTTTTAAAACTATTTTGTCTTGATAAAAGCAGATAAGATTGGATAATTTTGGCATAAACTAAATACAAACTTACGAGAAAATAACTTTATACCAGGCCAGCTGTGAAACATAGAGGTGGAAGTGTCATGGGTAGGCAATGCTTTTCTGAAATAGAACCTAAATGGCTTTTCATTCTCAGGATATCGGTGGAATATTATGGGAGCATCTTTGAAAAAAATAAACCTAAAGCATAATTGGACCTCTAAAATATTAAAATGAATTTTGAGGTTGCATGTGTTCTGTTTTCATACTGTTTCCTCACTTCACTTTCTCCGTACACTTCTCCAGAAATTCAAGATCCGAATCGAGGATCCGCCCAGACGCAAGCACATGGTGTTCCTGGGAGGAGCTGTGCTGGCCAACATCATGAAAGACAAGGATACCTTCTGGCTGAGTCGGGAGGAGTACAATGAGAAGGGTCTGGGGGTGCTGCAAAAGCTGGGAGGAGGAATCAGATGAAACAATAATAAACAACAGCATGAGCTAATTAGCTGAGATTTTATCATTCACACTCTGTTGGTTTTATTTCTGACATTGTTTTAATCAGGTTTTAATCTCCCTATGTGATCAAGATTTGATTCCATTTCTGCCCATTTGAAAAAGTATATCTGTACAATAACATTTTAATTTAGATAGGAAATTTTCATTTGATCTTGTTTTTCTCTAAAACCCCCACATGTTGCTGGTTATTTCAGTGTTGTCACTAGTGTCTGAGCAGGTGTCATTTGAATGAGGTGCAAATAAATTTTAAAGCACATGAAAAGGCTATGCTGTGTCCAATGACTCGATTTTAAATCTGTAATATCTTTAAAGGAAACCCTCAGCTAAAAACAAACTTGTTAAAGCCAAAAAAAAAAAAAAAGATTTGCTGTCATCTAGTGGTAAATCTGTTCAAGGACACAGTCCTTCTTCACAGCAAAACTGGAAGCACATGCCACTGGTACAGATATTGCAATTTTTATTGCGTTACTGCATTACCTGACAAAATACAGTCATGTGTGTTCTTTACATTGAAAAGAATCGGTGAGCTCTCACAGAAAACACATGCTTCACACACACTCCCTCACATCAACACGCCCACACGCATACATACAGAGGTCAACCTTCACTTTGAATGAGAAAGCATGCAACAATGTTCACATCATAGCTCTCAAAAACAAACCTTTTCAGCTGGATTAAAAACGCCAGTTATGTTGCAGATCTGACACTTTCATATCCACACAACAAACCAAACTATTTCAACTTAGTTTTGAATTCACAATATGATATATATATATATATATATATATATATATATATATATATATATATATATATATATATATATATATATATATATATATATATATATATATATATATATATATATATATATATATTTATATATATATATCTTAGAGCATCAAAGAGAGAGTCAAACAGTCCGTTGGCATTGATGACTTGCAGCAGGAGTCCCAGAAGCTGGTGATGAGGACCTTTCAGTCCTCATAAGGTCCTTATTATGGGTTAGGAACACAATATTTCATCTTACACTTAGGCCAAGAGAAACAGCAGAACTTTAGAGTAGAATTAGACAAATGGATTCAATGCAGGAAAAACAGAATTATTTAATACATTCGCGAGTCAGTCAATAAGTTAATGAATTTGTTGCGGTTATGTGCTTTTACTTTCCCAGCTACACATCTCCAGAGCTTATTTTCATCTGTTGTTGGAGAACCCCAAACCCCCCCCCCCCCCCCCCCCCCCCAAAAAAAAAAAAAAAAAAAAACAGCATTCACCATTTTTTATTCCAATCAAAAAAGGAAATTATCCCAACACTAGGCCAGCGGGTGGCAATAACCTAACTGATATTACCTGAGCATGGCTAAAAGTAGTGCTAGGTTTAAGGTTTTGATCATAATCTGAAAAAAAAGATACCTTTGCTTACAAGCGAAAACATTGTCAATATTTCATACTTTACAAGCCACTCCAATACAGAACTCCCAGGAAGTCCCAAAGCAATATATGTCAGAAGACTGACCACTGCAAAATTTCTAACCAATCATATATTGTAGAAGAAACATTATGCCAAAAATGAGCTCTCATACCAGGACTGCAAGATAATAACATTATTACACTAAGAAGATGTGTTTCCATCGGCTTCTTTAAAAATGTTGAAGTATTGCATTAGAAAAGCTTAATGGAAACAAAAACATTTGAAAAAAGAAAAAAAGAGCTTTAACGTTCATTTGAGGTGATTTTTGCGCAAACCAGGAGATTGGAAACACATTTTTTGAATCAGCTCTGACAAACAACTTATACCTTACATGACTGATCCCCAGTTTCTGATGTCGGAATCTTTCCGGATGTTTCTATCATGCCCATCAACATGGCTGGAAGCAACAACCCCATTACTAGCTGACATGTGAATATAAGAACAACTTCCCCAATAGCAACACATTCATTAGCTCTTTCCTCCATTACTGATCTGTGGTCAGTGCTCGCCTGCAGCCTTTACTTCCTGTTCATTACTAGCCTGGCCAGCCATACTAATAAGAAGTATACACAGTATGTACCATAGTAATACATATGCTATGCATCAGTATGATAAATGGCTGGTACAGCTTGATCACAAAGACAGGACTACCAGGGTCAGCGTCATCAGATAACTACAGATGTGACACAAAAACTCCAAGAGTTGTGCTCTATTTTTGTAATTTTGTAGTGAAACATGTCAAGCCATCAAAGAAACTGTCCAGTGAACGATTTCTGCCAGTTTTGCCCAAAATAATCTTTGCAACATTCATTCACTGTAGTTGCAAGCTTGTGGTTATGCTAGCAGAAAACTGGTGCTGCATTATGGCTATTTCTGATGCTGAGAGTCTCGCATCGTAAAGTCTTGTCTTCTGTGTTGTGAAGCTGAACAACAAAGTTGATGCCAGCATCACTGGGGCCACCAGGTCTGCTCTGTTTAGCCAGTACCACTGCCAGGATATGTGGCCAGATCATCATTTCCAGTGATACTTCCTTATGTCTCACTGTCATGAAATGCTGTACCAGTGGAAAGGGACAGATCAACCTCTGGTGAGTTTATAACTAAAAAGTGTCTCTACTGTACTCCTTCACCCTACATCACATCCATATCCAGTCCCCATTTGCATCGCCGACTGATTGGGCCTTTGTATGTAAACAACTTGCCTCATTTGCCTCTTTAGCACTCAGTGTGAACGCACCTTTACCCGGGGTTCTGCAATTGGCCAAAAATATAAAGCAGGCATGGTTAATGCATAGCCAGATTTCCATCGTTCTGTGAGCACAAGAGTTTACTGACAACGAATAAAGTGTCTCAGCAAGAAAGAACTTAATAGTTGTAAGTAAAAGAGCAAAGCTATAATTTTTTTTAAAAGTCTTCCTGAAATCTAAAAGTTTAAAAGTCCACATTTCCTAAGGATAAAATATCCCTAAATTTCAATCTCTTGAAATTCCTAAATTTCAATCCCTAAAGTTCAATCTCTGACCAATCACTAAATAGTTTTTAGGCTCCACATAAGAGAAACAGATCAGCTCTGATGATGCGTCAATAAAACTTTAAGAAAATAACTTTGCCTTCCATTAATTGTTCCTGTGATAGAGAACAAATCTTTTGCCCAGAGTATGTTTTGGCCTTTAAGGTTCTCTAAAAGGCTTTTCAATTATTTACTCATTAAATATCTAAAAAAAATATATATCTCTAAGTTGATGACTAATTTTAAAATTCGGTTCCCAAAATGTGGTGTTTTTCTTTTGACAGGAGTAGGATGACTAATTGTCATATTCATCTATCGCTAAAAATTTGATCAAAGAATAATTGTGTGGTATCTGGCTTTAGGGATTGACAACTTGATGTAGCCCTGATGGAAACAAAAAGGCGTGTGAGGATTTTTAAAATAATCCTTTCCTCATTTTTATGGTGATTGCAGCCTTGGTAAAACTCAAAAATATTTGCTCTCCATTGCCCATATCTCAAAATACCCTTATTATTGTAGACATGGCCTTAGACATAAAACAAATGAAACTTTTTTGTCACCTTCCTTTCATTTAGGTATTTCACCAGCAAAAAACTGCGCCTTCTCTCCAACAAGCAAATATAAAACCATCTCTGCAGGAGGTTCTTAAACACAGCTCATTTCAAATCCCATTTTTTTTTCAAACTAGACAGCCCCAAATTTCCCCTCTTCTTGATGCATGTCACTTTGGTACTGCAGTTTGGTCTTGGCTATAACACATCTCGCAAACCACAGAAAAGGTTGCATCCCCACCGTTAAACATCAGCCAATTTTTGCACAGAAAGTGAAGCAATAATACATCCAAGTGTCTTTAAGATTTAACCCAGACTTACACCGTAAAAGGGTTACATCACCACCTTGGACAATTTGCCTCCCTAAGTGCGTACAGGAAGTGGTTTTGTTTCTAGGCAACAGTAGTCTCGCAGAATTTGTATTCTTTGGATTTGAGCCTCCACGTCTCTTAATGATGTAATCCCTTCATGGTATAACTCTGGGTTCAGGTTGCAGGAAAAAAAAAACAATCATATCCATTTATTACATATTTTCCATGTCACAAATAGTACACTCCTTTTACACAAGCAGCCTCAAGTGTGGCAGAACTCTCAGTAAGTTTTCTTTGCTCTGATCCGGTCCTGTTTAGGACCAGGATGGGTCTAGGACTGTAGTTTTTCACAAAAAGTCCCGATCCGTGACGAGGCACAGCACACCGCCGGAGAGAGGAGACAGAGAGAGAAAGAGACAGAGAAAAACACCAACCATCCATCCATCTCCCCCTCCTCCTTCCTCTGTGCCTCCCACTCACTCCTCGCACACTGACTCGCTCAGGTCCACGGCGCCACCTCTGGTGAGCCGCCGCATCTTGCTGAAGTCGTGGTCGGTCCTCAGGTAGGAGAGCGAGGGCCCCCCCTCGCTGTGCCCAGCCAGGTCCTGGGGCTGGGCGTGGGACGGCAGGGCCCTCATCTCGCCACCGCTGCGCCAGTACAGTGTATATTGCTGTGGGTCGGACACTCCGAAGGTGGACGCACACAGCTGCGCCAGGGCCTGGCTGGTCTCCCCGGCTCTCCACTGCAACGTCCGCACAGCGCTCCGCTCCCCGTCCTGGAACAGTATCCGAACGCACCTCTGTAGGGAGGGAGAAGAAGAAGAAGACGAAGGAAAGATAAAGAGAGGGAGAAAAATGAGTGAATGCATTGCAATGATGACAAACAGAGGTCAAGAGGCTTATGGAGTGAGGGCAAAAGAGGGGGAGGAGAGAAGGTTGAGAAATGTGAAAGCTGCAGGAAATGAGGCAAAACGAAGCTCATAAAAGAAGCAGCCTCTGAAACAAAGCTTCTGCTTCCCACACACAGTCAGCCAGGTCGACAAGCTTTATATAAATTCATTTTCCCTTAGCTGCTCTTTTATCTGCCGCAAACTTTAAATCATTAATCCTCCAAAAGCATGACTGCAACCCAACTTTTCTCCGTCTTTAAGGAAGAAGGCTTCCCTTTCTTCCCTGATCTAAACCATTAAAGGCAATCAGCCCTAAAACTAACAAGCCTAGATCAACAACTGCCACTTATCAAACCCTTTAGCCATTATATAACGTCCGATTCAACCACCTACAGCCTCCCTCACAACTCTCTTAAGAGAACACACTCACGCTGTCCAAAGGACACGGCACATAATCCCTTCACCAAACAGCCAATCTTGAGGAACTAAAGCAAAGCCAATTCTATGCCTCAAAGATGCCAACAATCCCACAAACATGTTCACTTCCAGGCTCCAACCACAAGAAAGCACAAGTAGAAGTTGCCAAAAAAAAAAAAAAAGCCAAAAAAAAAAAAAAACTCCAAAGAGGACCAAAGACACACATTCAGGCATAACAATCAACAGGTCTTTCAACCGTCAAAACTCACAGAGTCACTGAGCTCCTCGCTGTCCGTGTGCATATTGTGTTTGCCTGCTTCGACGGATAGATGCAGCTCGATAAATTTCATGTTATCTGACCGCCCACCTCTTCATAGCACTTGGCTCACTGATCCTCGCCTGTGTCAGTGGAAAATCTGGCTGCCGGGTGAGTTAGATGGGCTATTTGAAGCCAGGAGAAGCACCACGTGACAAGATAGAAACGCGGATGACATTGAATTTCTCTCTTTTTTTTTTTTAGTGGCTTCTGGTGGACCTGTTGCACCGATGTGAAGGCCAAGAGGGAGGTGATGAAAGGAAGTGTGGGCAAAATGTCAGCGAGTGTGTGATGGTTTTAGGGAAAGTCCAGTCGTAAGCTGGAAGCCCCAGATCAAAGGGATTACCTCAGGAAAAAAAAAGTCTAAAAATTAATCTCCTTCCAAATTTTGGGAGGAGGGCCGTCCAAGTGAGCTGTCTCACTTTTTTCCTCCCCAGCAATTATTTGATGCTTACGAATCACTCAGTGCTTTCAAGTTGTGACATTCAAGCATCTGTAAAAGCAATTTAAACTCGATATAAAACATCATTCGAAGATGAAGCTTAACCCTACCTGCTAACGTCACAGATGTAGGACAATTAGATGATGCTGCCATCAATGTAATTAATCACAGGGATGTCTGAGCCTGTGTGGACGGATTATCTGTTGTTTTTTTTAATGTTTTTGTCTTTTGACCATTTAAAAGAGGAGCAGAACAGATTTGTGGAAGTTAAAATTTCAAATTGTGTTGCTGCAATATCTGCAATTATTGTTAATTATGTATTCTCTTTCGCTTTTCTTTTTATAGTTAGGTACTTCTAGAATAGTACTTTGGTTCTGCTGTTTTTCTTTTCTGGAGCAAAGCATTAATTGATCTGCAATTAAATTAGTTTACTCCTCATATTCCTTTCATAGATGTGTTTAAATCCTCAATGGATACTAAAACTATTGCTGCTATTATCTTTGTGTCCCTCTATATAAAATACATAGGAATTTGAAAATACACCTATGTAATACACCTGCGATTTTCTCTGTTAAGTCTTTACTGTCTTGAATGGACTCATTAACGGAGCTGACATGATGCCACCTGTCCATTAATCCAGTGGGCTCATGCAGCAGCTGACCAATCAGCAACTGTAAATTGTACCAAAGTGAAACCATTTCCTGCAAAAGCTGCACCTCCTTCACCTCGGACATATGGTATTTCAATGGATTTGATTTCATAATTACATTGCTGTCACAGGTATTTAATAGAAAATCATTTGAATAAAAGATTTAACATTTTCAGAGGGGGACTGAGGTCAATTACCCTGTCGGTTATCAGGTGGTGACCCACACATGCAGCTAAACGTAACAGGCATTGACATAGACAATGGCAGTTGGGGCATATTAAATATGTCTGCCATTTTGGAGCGGGTGCCCTACCTACTTTGCTAAACCTAAACACCAGAAGGTGCCTTAGCAATGTATGGAGTTTTTTGGGTTCAAATTTAAATGTAATTTTTTTGATTTAATAATTGCAATGTTAATCTTATCTGCCATTACCAGCTGCTTGTTATTATGTTTGGTTCAGATGTTCAGCTGGCTATAAGCGAATGCCAAAATCCCATCTCTTGACCTGCAGAAACGCTGTTCAAGAAAAAAATCCTCTGCAAAATAATCATTAGACTGCTAATGAAAAAGTTTTATCAGGAAATTTGCAGATGTTTTAATATTGTTTGTGGGAGTCATTCAGATTTTTGCTCTTTCTATACATCTGTGAGCATTCAGCACAGCTTTTCTACCTTATTTGTTACATTTTTGCATTGGCGGAGTGATGTCACGTTTGCGTCACGTCAGTTGCTGTGAATTTGGGTAATCATTTATAAAGGAAGTACTATATATTCATTGTTTTGTGTTTATTATAAACAGGTTTACCCCAAAAAGGGTCACCACTCCCATTACTTTTATATTAAATTATTTTCTGTAGAAAGTATCACTAGTTTCTTTCTTAGATACAGTCCTTGTTTCTTTCTTATTTTTTTTTTATAGAAAATAATCATGTTTTTCTCTTTATCTTTGTTTCTTTACTAGATATATTTTTTTTGTCTTTGGGATTACCTTGGATAATGGTTTTCTTAGCATTGGAAATATTCCAATTATATTCCAATGATATGTCTCTTTTCCAGCACACCTAATTCAAATGCAGGGCAGTGATCCCTGAGGAGTACGGTCTGGAAGTATGGCTATGTTCACATAGATTCAGTGCTTTGTACACAATAAACGAGGACATATTGGAAACCTGGTCCCAAAGTGTTAAGATTTCAAACTGTCTTTTCTGAAATGGTGAAGCCAAATCTTCATCTCTGTAAGCTGCGTGCTCCTCTTTGCCACTATGCTGCTATGTTTACCTTTTGCAAGTTATCAATGCATGCCTGTTTTTTTTTTCTTCGTTGTTTTGGTGTCTTTCTGTGAAATAGTCACAGTATTATGATCCTGACATACTTCCTCACTCTCAGGGTAGCTTTATTTACCTTTTTGGTAGCACATTTTTTTCAAAATTATTTTTAGGTCACAGTTTGACTCAGTTTAGTCAGGGCCTGAATTAATTGGAAAATTCTTTGTTAATTAGAATTTATTTTATATTCTTTTAGTGTGAATCAAAGGTTGCTGTAAATATTTTTTTACTTTCAGTAGGAAAACTAATACAGTTTTTACATTTTATTTTAGCTGTGTAATGGAAAGCTGTGTCTTTACACCTTGAAGCTTTCCCTCTGCGGTTCTTTTCCTGAGAAGAGATCACTCGGTTCAAACTCTTTAAATAACACTTCATAATGTATATATATTAAATAACCATGAGACATGACAACAGATTTTGACAGAAATTGTAATCTTACTCAGTCCAGAGAATTTGCTTTAACTTACAGAAGGTATTGCTTATCAACTGGGCTCACCTCCTGTTTAAGTTGCCACTCTGTCCGTGTCCCCATTTCATTCCCAAATCTCTGCTATGCACATAATGAAGATGATAAATGTAAATCCTGACAGAGGAACTGTCCTAATTAGATAAACTACTTGGGAAAACATTAGTTCTGACACACAACAAGCTGGTATTACTAGGGGTTAACAGACTCACACATCATTATCTTACCAGATGTTATCCATCATAACTCTAAGCAAATTGAGATAAAAGCATAGTTCTCTTCCTTTCGCAGACAGCTGCCCATGGAGCTGTTTTACGGTTACATTTTCGAACACAGAAAGTATTTATAGGTCAGTGCTTCTATGTTCCTTCTGTTGGTTTGTTTCTATCTCCTTAAACCCTTAGTAAGCCTCAAGAGAAGACCGCTCACACTGAGCCTGGTTCTGCTGGGGGTGTCTTCCTGTTAAAAGGAAGTTTTCCTCTCCACTTTCACTGAATGTTCAATTTGAGGGATTAAGGGGATGCAATGACGAAATGCAAGCTAATTTCTGACACCAAAGGATCATGCAGGAGGAGTAAATCCAGCAAAGCCAAAGACTGGATGCAATCACCTGATTTTCCTTAGATAGAAAACTTGCTACCAACCTGACTGTGTGATGTGGTTGAACTGCATCTATAAGTGCCTTGAGATTACATGTATTGTAAATTGGTGCTATATAAACACACTGAATTGAGTTCTTACCTTTCTTTAAGTGACAGCAGTAACAATAAGCAACCGGATTATCAAATTAACTTGCTTTTTTCTGTCTTTTATGTTTTATATATTGGTTTCTAAAACAGACCACTAAATAGATCAATAGAAACATGTTTCAGAGTGGAACAACTGCTTGCCTAAGGTTAGGAAATGTCTCCTTTCCATCTCAATTGCTGGGTACCTGTCTTTAGTTGATAATGGTTAGATAATGGTTAAATGATATGTTAAATGATAATGGTTAAATGATATAAAAACTAAAAATCTTATAGCTTTATAGTTTTGTAGCCTTGGTAGCAGGTAGAAAACATTCCTCCACAACAATCCTACTTGTAAAGCAAGCAAGGTTTCTGTGGCGTTACTGCAAACAAATGAGAGTACCTACTTGGCTCTGTTGGGTCTCTTTTTGTTTTTGGGCCTCCAGGGTCCGTCGACTGCTCCACTCCTTCAAAGCATCCTGCACTTGTGGTGTTAGACAGCCAGAAAAAGGTGGATCCTGCTCCAGGCTCTGGATCAGACACAGGCTAGCATATACGCTGGTCAGATAGTAGCCACCTGCAAAAAAAAAAAACATTGGTAGGAGAAAAATGTAAAACTTAGTCATTAAGACCAATTACTGCACTAGGCAAAATCTGGGTTCTGACAAGTCTAGTTATTCAGCAGCTAATAGTGGTAGTTGCTAATGTTTAAAGCTGGATATTTCCTACCACTGATATAGAGGATTTTGTGACTTCAAATGTAAAACGACTTAATTTCGTTTTTTGTCAAAAACAACACTAAAGTCCTCAAATTCACCTATTATCCCAATTAACTAGGTGTTTACCCTTTCAAAGTTGACACTGAACTGATTGCAGCATTTAGGCAAAGGAAAATCCAAACAATGAAGCCAGTTGTTCAAAATCGAGATGCTATGAAAGCATGATAATATCAATTTATCAATAGATTTTATTTCCATCATATTATTAAAAAAACACATCAAAAGCATGCTTGGTGTGAGAGATTGCTTTCAAGTCAATTAGTCGATGCAATTAAGTGTAAACTTTTCTTGTGTTAATCTTTATTTTCTGTGTGTAAATCTTATATTTCGCTGCATCAAGTAATGGTTGGATTTGGGTCTTACCCTCTCCGCCAAGCCAGGAAGGCTCCAGCAGCTCCATCATGTACTCCACCTCTATAAGCAGCTGAGGCCTGTTACATTCTACTATCACATAGGATAGCGCAGGAAGAAAGTCATCCCAGCTTACATCTTCTCCTGTAAAAACATTATTTTGTGATATATTTACTATTTCATAGGAAATAACTACACTGTATGTAAACTTGGTATGAACCACATTGACATATTAAAAACTATAGTTATGACACAGATGTGTAAATACAATAAGTAGTTTTTTTTATATATAGACCCTGTAGATTTTTTTAGCTGGGTCAAAAGAGCAGTTGTGGTAAAATATTTAAAACTGAAGAAATGTACTTTTGGATTAAAACACATTGAAGTAAACCAGCCCTGGTCCAGATCAGAATTTTAAATTAAAATCAATATGTGCTATGCGTAAAGATGCTTCAATAAACTTTTCGGAGTCTCACCATGTAAGGTCCCCATCGCCTTGTGCACAAACTTGCACACTTGGAGCAGTAACAGCACCTTATCAATAGGCGAGTGCGTCCGCTGCATGAGGATCAGTTTCTGCTTCACCCTCTCCACCTCCCGGATATCGGGGACCCCAGTCCGCACGCCCAGCCTCTCCATGGCACCGTTCCCTTTCAGTCGGAGCATGTTCTGTGTGAGGAGCTGGGTGGAGCCATCTTGGTTGTGAAAAGCTGTCAGGGCTTTCTCAAGCGGGCACTTTAAAGGCCGGAGGATGCAGGAGAACATAGCTCGCTCTAGTGCCAGGTCTGTGAAAACAGAACGAAGGTAACTGACAAGTGTTTTATTTAACTGATTTGTAATTAGAAAAACACAGGATGGGAATTACGCCCAGAGGGATACACTAACCAGTGAGGGTGATTAATATTGTTTAAATAATGATAAAAAAGAATACTTTATCTGCACAATATGCACCAATATTCATTTAAAAACAGTCAGCAATTCAACAAGTTATAAAATAAAAAGACTCCTAAATTGTTTAGTCATGATCCATTTTGCACAGCGTCCAGATGAATGCTCTAAGGATTTTGACGTTAACAAAATTCACTAAGCTTTGAGTCAAATCAATTATTCCTGTGGTGCCTCAGCACACCTGCATGAGGGCTCTCTCTTTTTTTGCAAAGTTTTTGAATAAAAACAAAAAGTTCAGTGGTTACATACCTGAAGCTCTTATCTACAACTTTTACTTTGTTCTTATTCAGTAAAAATTCAAAAAATATCCACTGGACTTGGTTTCCAAGATTTGAAGATGTTACTTACAGGCTAACGATGGAATCAAACGACCCATTCATCGGTTACCATTTGCATGTTTCCAAGCGATACAAGGCTTTGTTTATATAAGACTCAAACTCACTGCAGATCCAGACATTTGAATTGAGAAAGCTTCCTGGAGAGGTGGCGAAACGTCTTCAAATCTTGGAAACCAAGTCCAGTGGATATTTTTTGAATTTTTACGGAATGATTATGACCTGGATGACTGAGAACCTTCATCAGCACTTTGTTCTTATTGTTTCCCTCTCAGTCTTGATTGTCAATTAGAAATCCAAATAAAAAAAAGTTACTGTAGTTAGTTTAGGAAATGAAGGAAATAAAATAAACTCAACAAAATAAAGCTTTAAAAGCAAACTCTTAATTTGAAAACAAATTCAAACAATATTTTTCATAAAGAATCTAAGTTGTTTCAAAAATTGGCACTATTTATTTTCTCCTTCATGAAATGTTGGGTAAAAGTGGGAATAGTTCAGCAACAAGGCCATTGAAAATTAGATTTTCCCACCCACAGTAAAGTTATACTTTCGTTACAACAATGAAGACCAAAAACTATTATTGTTTATTAATAAGACAATGGACGTGGGTTTTAAATATATCCCAAAACTGCTTTCTATCTTTTCAATGATCATCCACTGTGTTAAAAATCTAGGGATGATGGTAACATGCAGCTAACTCGACTATTACATGAATATCATACCGAAAAAACTATTATTTTTTTTAATAATGAAAAATCTGTAAACCTGATAAACTTTTGAAAGTGTTAGTTTAAAGTTCAAATAGAAAGAGTGCATCTTGAGCAGTTTTATCCTTTTATGTGTGATGGTAGATTATCCTTTCTTCTCTCTATGTGGGTGGTCTAAATCGCACTAAAAATGCTCCAAGTAATAAAAATCGAGAGAATTTTACAGTATGCTTGGCGCCTTTAGCACCTCAAGAGCAGTTACGTGATAAAACACAGCTGTGACGTCAGTGCAGTCAAACATCCTCGGACGCGGGTATAGAATCACGCATTGTTAAGCACTCTAAAAGGATTGCTAAAATTACATTACAGTGGTCTATCGTACTGCTGCCAATTGTAGGAATGGCTTTGGATCGGGAAAAGGAATGTTTAATTATCCAAAGGACCCGGTTTTGCATCAAATTTCGATCCAGAAAGTAAATAGATTAAACAAAAATCAACAGGACAATCTTTGATGTCCAAGCCAATAGAACAAACTATGTTCGGATCACATCAAGGCAGATTCTTTTATCATCAATCAATCCTGCTCTCACGGCAACATTTGGATTCAATATAACACAGGTGGAACAGCTTGTTTTCTCTGTTGTATGGCTTTAATAAAGTGCCTGATCGCAATGAAGCTGATTCAAAGCATTGTTTATTTTTTTATTAAATATTTTATTTAATAAAAAAATAAACTCTAGTTAGTTGCACAGTTTAGTATAGCTGCAGCCTCCTTCTTCTTGGCACAGATTAAACTCTAAAACCAGGTTAAGGAGTAACACGCTCGTTATCGTCCTCTGTCAGAGTTATGTGGTCACTAACCTGAGTTTGTCCTCTAAAGATATATACCGGCTGAACTCTGGGTCCTCTGTTCTGAACCTTGACATACACGTATGTTGAAAAGAAATACGTCTTTTCTGGTCTGACAATGTTAATTTATAATAAATAACCTCATGTCCATGCACATGCTCTTGCCTGTAAAGCCACTCTCAGTGCATGCAGTGGGCGGTCCTGACTCAATAATTTTCCACTTCTCATCAATCTTCTCTTCCCCCTCCATCATGTCTCCCTACTGTACAATCCCCCACTTCTCCCCTCTGTCTACCTTACTATATCCCCCTTGTGATCAATCACTCTCACTCTCTCTCTCAAAATCAAGCTCTTATTTACCAGCTCTGGAGTGTAACTCATGACATGTAACGTGATTACAGCTTTGCTACAGATGAACAGCTTTTGCAGAAAGGTGAGTACATTTTTTGAAATCTGTTACTCACAGACCAGTAACTGATTACACTTTCCAAGTAACCTGTCTATTTCTATGTCTCCCTCCCACCCTCCAGTGAATCGTGCAGCTTTTCAAGTGAGCGTGGGACTCTGATATCTTTTTATGATAAACGAGGGGAGAAAAAAAAATGCAAATGCCTCCCGCCAACGCAATGAGAGATAAATCAGAATCCCAGCGCAGAAAGGAAGGAAGGAACATAGGATGGACGGAAGGCTAAGACCCCCCCCACCTCGACGTCTCTAGGCAGCCAGGCAACCGCCATTCGTCATTACACAAAAAACACCTGTGAGGCACGCACAAAGAAAAATCCTACGCACAGCAGCGTGTCAACAGATTCAACCATTTTCCTAGCAAAGAAACCTGCTGTAATGTCTTTACAGTACAGAGACGAGCCAGTCGGTTAACGGGAAGCTTGTGAGTGTGGATGTGTAAGGCAGGCTATCCCAACACTGTTTGTTTAATATCAGAGACAACATGACCACCCCCTCCAGCCAACACTTTACTACTACATGGTCTGCTTTGTGATGACAGCTTCTTTCATGGGAGCCTGGGCAGCCCACCATGTCTGTTTGTATAAACCTAGCCTCCAGCTTAAATGTTCTCTAATTGTTTAATGTCTTTCTGCCCCATAATTTTCTTGTTCTTCTCATGGTCTATTCTTTTAGACTGACAAGCTCACAATGTGTGCAAAATCCAAAATCCATCACTGGGAAACTGAGCCTAGATTTTTATTCCAGAGCAACTAACTTGATCTAAACATACAATTCTGTAAGTTAGCTGGGATAGGTGGATGGAAGGGTGTTCATTAAAAAAAAAGAAGACAAAAACTAAAGAATTTATTGCATCAAACCTAATTTGAAGAAACTTGTTATTGTTTTATAATTGGATATAATCTTGTTTTTAAGTTATGTGACATCTGACCATCAACTCATTTGCGCATGTTTCAGTGTTTTTTATTGTCATTACAGTCACAAGTGCAGAGCTACAAACTCTTTGCATTTAACCCATCCCCTTCAGGATGGGTGGGCTGCCATGGTGTGGTACCCGGGGAGCAGTGTGGGGGTTAAATGTCTTGCTCAAAGAACCAGAGTGCCAGTCTGTGTGAGTGAGGTTTGAACTCAGAATTCCAAGGGCAATGCCATAGCCACTAGGCTGTCACTCCCCAAAGCAGGCATTAGCATGAAGGGTCTTGCCTAAGGACCCACACTTTCTTTAGATCAATCCCCCCAGCTGGGATACAAACCCAGGCTTCCTGTTTGCAGGATGGGTGACTTACCACTTGAGCTAGCCAAGTGAGACAGATATTCAGCCAGGTTGCCGTAAATAATATAATTAACTAAAAGTAAATATTTCTACCCTTTAATCACAAAAGAATGCTAAAATACACCTTGTAAAAAATATTTTAATGACTTTTCTTGAGAGAATTTGATGTGTTTTACATTCTTTTTGTTAAATTGCTTGTCTGATGTCATCATCGGACATGCTCAGAACAGTCTGACAGTAGGATTTCCCCATATTTATATTCATTTTAGTTGTTTCTTTCTTTAGATTAGGCACTATACACCATAAAGGTAAAACGGAAGGCAAACATAATGCTTAAATCCAAAGCTGAAAAAATTAGCTGCTGGAAGTAGCGTGAGATCCCATTTCTGGGACGGATCGGGGACAGAGTGATAAAACAGGATTTAAATAAATTTATTTTAGCAGAAAATCAATTATTAATCTTTTACATTTTGTATATTAGTACACTTAATATTTTTAGGGATCAAAAAAGTTAATTTGGATCTTTTTATATGGTGCAATTGAAGGCGACCCGGATGAATATGTGGTTGCTCATGTGCAAGTAAGCTTATGATGCTACTTGTAGAGAATGAGTAGTGACAGTAACAACTTTACTCCTTTCCAATGTTGCCCTTACCACAAATAGAAAGTAGAAAATGACTGTTTTCCTACTTTTTACATAAAATTAAAATAGTATTGTCCCGTGACAGTACCTGTAGGAATATAAAATTAATTTAGGTTGATAACCATTATGCATTTGATTATTGTTTTGTACATTTATGGGTCAAGTTTAGTCTTTTTTTTCTCCATTTTGGTTTAATTGTTTAAAGATTATCTGCTGTCCTACTGCACAAATTTTTGTCCACAAGCATAAATATTTTCCTTCATAAATATTATACAGAATATCTCTCCATACTGTCGCTTTTCACCAATTCCTCCTTGTGGCAACAATGAGCACAGATATTTTTGCAGGTCACTTTGCACCTGAAGTAATAAAAAAAGACACTAAAGCTGGGCCCACTTAGTACTTCTAGATTTTGAAAATTTGCATTTTGTAAATGTTTACATTTGCATATTCTCCAACCATGAATTATTGAGGTTTGTGCATTAGAGTACGATCATCATACTGATAAAGGCAAAGATGCAAAACAAGGTGATTTACATTTGAATTGCAAATACAAATCACTTTACACTTTCTTTGAAGATCTGCTCTGTGCATACAAACACCTTTGCAAATGTTTTAAAACATGCCAACCTTCTGAATATTAGGCCCTTATATCTCTTCTTTAGTGCTTTACCCGCTGCTTAAGTTTTTGGGATCACAAGGAGACTTTGATATGGCTTCAAGTCTTTTAAAACTATTTTAGTGACCAAGGTCTGAGAGCGACCATCTCAATCTTTTACAATTCTGGAAGACATTCTCTTAAAGGTCCTACATAATGCTTTTCTAAGCCTTTCAAAGTCAACTATAGGCATATGTATGATCAAACATTACTTTTGCCATTATTTAGTATTAAAATGTTTATTAGTTGTTTTCTTCCAACGCAGAAGAAAGACACTTAACTTCAAAGCGTGTTCATCATGTTAGAGAAGCATGTCACTACTGATGACATGGCTCTTCTTTAGTAAGGCTAAACAAAGTCCAAAGCTCTCATGGTCGAAAAGCAAACTTTCATGATTTAGACATTAGCTTAAAAAAAAAAGAGTTGCTGTCACTGTGCAGATTAGTTGCTTTTTATCTTGTTCTTGAGTCGCACTCATCACACTCTGCATCACATCACTGCTCACTGATAAAAAAAAGGACTTTATTCATTGACACATGAATGAATCAAGCTAAATACGACTTTAGACATATATTTTAAGATACTGTAGCATCATAATTTAGTTTATAGCTTAAAAAAAGTATTTTTTACATAACAGAGGCCCTATGACATGTATCCCAGCAGTAGTGCAAAGCACTTTGCAAAACATAATTTTGTTCATCATCCTAATCTCAAGTTCAGCAGGTTTAAATTAGAACCCTTTTATTGTTTTGGTGTGATTCATGTTTATAGTTTTTAAATGAGTGCTAATAACACTAATAATATGCTTGGCGTAGAATTACTTGCATCAATTAATGAAAAATAAACTACCCCCATCATCAGTGTGAAAGAAACCTTACATGATATTTAGATGTGATCTTTGGTCCGTTTGAGCTGTGAGATGGTCTCCCAAACTGACTGAGTTATACTATACTAACAAATAATGTGTGCAAACACAGATGAATCAAAGTATTTGCATAGGTTTTGTGTGTTTCTCTAGGTTTACCTTTCTCATTCTCTGGCACAAGAGTTTCAATGGGAGGCTCAAGTTCTCTGCTGTCCAACAAGCAACACTTTGCCTGTGACAGGAAGAGGCGCAGACCTTGCAGAAGCTGCACTGAAGATACACCTGTGGATGAAGATGTGGAAGAGGTGCTCAATGTTTTAAGCACCTTTCTCTGCTCCTGGAGGAAATCCTGAATCATATCTCTGAACACTGAGCGCCTGTCTCTTGCCAGTTCCTCCACCAGTCGAGTCAGGCGCTTGTCAGGCGCAAAAAAACACACAAATGCTTCACTCATGCGATGCAGGCCTCCACGGCCTCGTGAGCGGACGAGCGGAGGGCGGTGGAAGGTGTTTGTTTGGGTCTGGGACATGCTTTCTGGTTCTGACGCTGAGTCATTTTCGTCATCCATGCTGCTAAAGGAGCTACAGCTGTCAAGCTCAGCCAAGGACGGAGCTGGCCGGTGCTCCAAGCCCAGAACTGTTCCCTCGATGCCTGCCTCCTGATGGAACTTGGGTGTTTCATCAGCAGCAGCAGATGTCTTGAAAAAGACAGAAAAGCTTCTCATTTAGAACATGAAAAGCCTGCACAAAAATTTAAAATCAACCACAAAACATAGGAGTAACCTCAAGAAAACACTGTTCCCTGTCTTATTTGAATTCAAAAAATTACCCTCAGCACCCACCTGTGGCACATATACTGCCATCATGTCATCTTCCTCTGCTGACCCAGGTGATACTGCTGGGGTTCTCCTCAGGACACAAGCCCCTGCATGTACTCTTCTTTGAGGATTAGGACTAGATTTGTGCAGCCCCTCCGAGCCTCCAGGTTGCTCCAGCGATGGGGGAGGTGAGTAGGAACCCACGCCTTCCAGGGACAAATTCATGGAGGACTCTGAAAGCCGCAGACGCATGCTGCGCTTGAAGCGGTGCCGTTTATTGGAGGCGCTGTGGTTTGTGTGCTGTGGCTGTTGCTGGAATGTAAAATGAAATTAAGCACAATTTTTTTATCGTATTAAAAGTCCTTTCTCGAATCTCAGTAGATTCTTAGCTCACCTTGCTAACCTCCAACTGAAGAAAGAGGGGGTTGATGAAGCAGACTTTGCCTTGTTTGCCTCTTGTCATAAAAGAACATCTGTCTTGAGTCCCTCCCATTTGGGACTGGGTGCTGCTGGTTGATGCAACAGGCCCTAAAGGCCCATTTTGGATGTCTAAAGCACTCGGTGAGCTCCAAAAGTCTAAAAGAACACAGAACACAGGTTGCTCAAAAAGTTATCAGCTAAAATTTAGGTATCAGCTAAAAGGTGGATTAAGAACAAACTGGGGGAGTTTTCCCTAATCTGCCAAATAAGACGATTTCCTTTCATTTGTAGACCGGTTCCCATTAGGAAAATGAAACCTCTCTTCAATCACGATGGGTTTGGGGTTTACAAACAGATGCTACACTGGGTCACATCATTTATTTGGGGAAGCTAACAGTCATTTTTAACTCACCCTTCATTTAACACCTCCTTTGTACGTTGGTTCAGGCTCATTGCCAGTTTGTCGGTCCTTAACGACTTCAATTATTAAAGAGAAAGACAATTCACTTACATTTACAACCGTTCCCTTCAGAACAAGAGCTTTTAACATTAAATACATATGTACACAATGTACATTTACTAATTGATGAGCTACCAGACTGCTTTATCATTAATGTATTTTGGTGTTGATGGTGTCACTGAAAAAAGAAGCTACTTTCGGCATTGGCAATGTTTTAAAATCTAAATTCAGAGGAAGCAAAGATATGGAGAAAGCTATTTAAAATGACATTCCTGACGTATTGGAGATTTATTCTGACAGAGAAAGCAAGAGAGAACAAGAATTGCAAAATAATAAAAAGACTGATGAAGAACATAAAAGATGTTCTGATTCCTTCACTCAAGAAATATCCTTCTTGAAATAAACAGATCTACATTTTCTGTGAAAGAAATACAACATCTTTTGTTTCTGTAATCCTAGTAACAATCTTAGAGCAACTTTCCCTGTCTACAACCCATCTGACAAAGCCACTGTTCCTAGTACAAATAATTAATTCTGCTCAAGACAGTGAGGCTAGAAAAGGCTAGAATGGTGTCAAATGTGTGGTTTATTTCTATAAACCTCTTTGAACATAATTTCAAACATCTGTTGATGTATAGTTGATTCCAATGCCTGTATTGAATATGTAGATTGTTGATTTATCCTTTAATTATTTAGCCAATTAAAAAATGTTTGCATGTTCTATTTCATCCGTTCCATTTTGAAAAGCTACCATCGCTCAGAATCTGCTTTCCACTTTCGTCTTCATGAAGTCACACCTCGCTCGCTCGTGCTGCTGCAGCACCACAGCACATGTTCCTCTGTTAAAATAGATGCAGACTGGCAGTCACTTCTTTCCACAGTTGATTTTCTCACAAATTATAGACTTCACCGTTAGTTGTTGCAAAGGGCAACTGTCAAGTTTAGGTAGAGAGCAGTGAAAATATACAGCTGCATAGAAAGAGGGTTATAGCTTGACTTGGAATCATAATAATGTAATACACACTGTATATAACACATGATAGTCATCTGACTGTTTATCGCATGTCTCACTGTGATTCAATGAAGAATTATTCTAAATGAAGCCTAGGCAGAAATTCAATTGAAGAAACTGAATTACTTACCCTCATCCATCAGAGGCTCAACTGCCTCTGACAAACCAATCAGATTTTAACCGCACCTCCACGATACCCAATCAGCATCCAGAGTGCATCTTAAAAGGTCTTTAAATTCATAACCAGGCCAGCCTGCTACCCAGCCAAAGTGCAAGCAGTGGTTGCGCTATGTCTGATTTTGACTCAGGTGACCCCAGTTCAACCCACCTCCGTCCCCTTCTCCACCATCATAGCTAATTCCATCTGGCTTTTCCATGGGGTGTCTTCAAACTCATCACTATCAGTGTCATGATCTTGGCACTGATGGTTTGTTTTTTTCCTTTGCTCCTTGCTCAGCTGTCTAGTTGTTTCTGCGGCTGATTATTGCCGATTATTTCCACCTGGTTCCTCTACTATTTAGGTTGTGTGTTTGCCTCCTATCAGCGCCAGGTTATTCGAGTGTTTTTGTGAGACGTTCCCTACCAATCTGTAGTCTGTCTGTTTTCCTAATTTTGACCAGTTTCTGCCCTGAGGATCTCGAGTTTTGCCTTGCCCCTGTCTGCTCTGTTTGTCGTATCTGCTTCTGGATTCTACCGGCTTCTGAACCTGGAACTGTCTTCTGACTTCGGCCTTGGATTTCCCTTCTGGACTCTGTTGCTGCTCGGCGTCGGCTGCTCGCTCTCTAGGAACTCTGGGGGCGTCGCCCGCCGCAACTGCGGTCAAACCTCCCTCCTGGATTCTGCTGTGTTCTCCGCCAACAGACTGAACTTTGAATCAGGTCAGTGACTTTGCTCCAAGTCGTATTCAGCTCCACATCCAGTCACTGACCTGTATTCTCCTATCCCTGCAGAGATCAGCCCCGCAGCAGACGAGCAGCCCCGCGCTCCTGTTCCTTTAATAAACGCTTTGAACTTTCCCACTGCCTGTCTCGCCTTGAATTCTGGGTCCAACATTCTGAGATCATTACAATCAGATTGTCATTCCTCCTGGACTCTTATTGCATTCCCCATCACATATCAATTAGTCTGGCAGAAGACTGCCATGTTGAGTCTGGTTCACTTTATGCTTGCTCATCATTGACAGCTTCATGCAAACCTGTGTTTATGCAAGCTGGACTTCTATCTTCCAGGTCCTGACTAAAGCACTAGTCTACTGTCAGTCTACTGCACACAGTCTACTGGATCTCACCAGTAGAGCTCAAGCAGATTGTGTCGCCAACCAGCAGTCTATGGACTGAACCAACTTCATCTATCTCCAATCCACCACCAGGCCTGAGGGAAACGTCCCTGTTCTCATACACCTGCTTATGCATATTACAGTAAAATTTAGTGATAATGTTTCCTGCCAAGTTCTGAGCAGCAAAATCTTAAAATAATTGTATTAATACAATTCTTCTAATTGTCGTTTTCTTTCTGTGTGAGTTTTTCAGATTGAAATGAAGTTTAAACAATAAAAATGTATTGCAAACTTTTTCTATGACTAAATTAGTGAGATTTACCCTGCCCCATGTAAGAGATGGCTTCCAGCTGCCGGTGTGTTGTGGCATTGGCAATGGCCTCTGGTAGCTGAAGAGGAAATGGCAAGACATCTCTGGAGAAAAAAAAATAGATTATTAAAAAAACATTCATGAAATGGTAAAAAGCTGCCCTAAATAGTTCATGATTTTATAATCTGATCCTAAGAATCAGAGTGGAACAGGGATTCTCAAATGAGTCTCTCACTAAATTCAATTTATAGTCTCAGTGGTTGGTGGACTGTTTAAGATGTGGCTGCCAAACTCAAAGAGTTAGGCAGTAAGATATGCATTGCTTGGCCAGTTTATTTTTAAAATTGGCAGAGCTAAACAGTTAGCTTCCTCTGCCCAGGATTGCCTTTAAAAGCTTTAGATGTCCAACTTTCAGTGAGTCTGGTAACCGAAGTAAAAGAAATGAAATACTGCTTTCTGACTGAGGGCTGTCAACTGACATCATGTGTGTTTAACAAATAAGATGAGATGTTTTTCACCTATTTCAGATCATAATTATGAGGCAGTGTGTACACTTTTTTCTGGTTTCCCAACACTTATAATAAAAGAGCTAAGAGAATCATAAAAAAAAAAAAAAGAGCAAACAGGCAACTTTAACCAAGCACTTCACGTGAATACTTTGTGTGTTGGACAGGAGTTAATTGTTGACAGGAGCTCTTGAGTCAAAGCTGAGTCCAATTTAGCTGAAGAAAAAAACAATAAAACAATAGTGTTATGTGTTTTCGGTGATCCTTTTTTTAAACCAAATTAACCTCCTGTTAGAGCATGTTAGTGAGACTGACCTGAAGAAACTTTGGCTAGGAAAATCTAAATGGAAAGATTATACTGGAGCATCTGTGTGGGACTTTATTTTAACAAATACCTCATCTTTAATTAATCTGATTAAATACAAAAAACTTTTGGATAAGTTTTTTTTCTCCCCTGTTTTTAAAGCATCAATTAAAAGTTGAAGGTTTGACACCATAACCCGCTTAACCAATGTTTAATGTAAACAGTTACTTTTTGCAAACCATGGTTAGAGGTGGAATGTTTTGAAAAGTAACCTTTATTTGAATTGACGTGACAGTTTGGTGAGCAGAAAAAACAACTGCTGACTCCAAGCTTTTTAAATGTTTGCTTTTTTTACATTATCCCTGCATTTTTTATTGTTTATTCAGCAACCATGGTGGGTAACTAGGCATGAATATGCAATAATAAATAATAATAAAAAAAAAAATAAAATAAAATAAAATATATATATATATATATATATATATATATATATATACTCACTAAATCACAAAAATGTAGTTAATTAAGTTAAAGTTCCATATACCCAAATGTAAACATTGCATATACTTGGGAAAATGTTTTAAATCTGAAAAGAAATTACAAATCTAAAGAGGGAAATCCTTTCTGGATATGAAGATTGACATAAAATCATAACCAGGTGTTTTATACTAGTTGAAGACCGAGCAGCATCCATGCTGTCTATAAATAGTCTTGGAGTGAAGTATGTGTGAGAATCTAAAGTTGAATCAGAGAAGGAATACTTATTAAGATACATATAAAAAATTAGGCTCAGTAAAATACTGAACTATTTAATAACATAATGTCCAATATGATAGCATAAATATTAAGATCAAGAAATATCAAGGCAACACAAAAGGACATTTTAAATGATCGCCATCTGGATTCAGATTCTTACAGATGATTTGGACATAAAACAACATCTGTTAGAAGTAATATGCTTTCGATAAGTTAAAAATAATCTCTAATAAGAATTTGTTTAACTGCATTGGAACCACAAGTTTAAATCGGCTCTTTATTGCATATTGAATACTGAATCATCCCTCCATTTTTCTCCTAATTTTTTTTGGGTTCCATTTTCAATTAGAAGTTAAATGGATTCATAAAATAAACTAAAATGTTTCAGGAGCTTGACTGACTTAATTATAAATAACAGTTAAAACAGAAAATACGATTGTACGACTGGAAAATGTAAATGATGCAATACATTGCTGAGTTCCTTAAAAAACAATCTGTATGTAAGATTTAATTGAATCATCTCTATAAAGTGCTTTGAGTGGTGTTTGGCGCCTTTTGGCGCCTTATTTGGCGCCTTATTAATAAATTAAATTTAAATGAATGGAAACCATTAATAAATATAGGATATATTTCAGAAAACACAATCTGCATTATTTTCTACCTTTTAGAGCTGTGAGATGGAGCTGGAAACTCTGACAGGTACAGGGAGCAGCGTTAATATATAAAACAGATGCATAAAATCCCTGATTGTTACTATTCTGCAGGATCTATGAGGAATTGCTGCCAGTCCAGATCAAAATGCGGGGACAGGATTATCTGTGTGGCTGTATCTTCTTTATGAAGGTTTTTTTTTGTATGATATATTACCTGCTGATGCAGTAGAAGGCCACCAGACGACATAGGTCCGGGAAGCTGAGTGCTGAGCTCTCCAAGGCGAATGCTGCTCACAGAAGAGAGATTGACAGCAGTGAAAGGCTAGCTCATTTTAGGAGGAACTGTCATAAATAATATGAAGCAGCCATCACATTTCCTACACTAACAAAGGGAAAACTCATGTAGCACTGCCAAAGTTATACATTTCATGGACTACTGTTGTCAGGATGTTTAAACTGCCCAACTAAAAAGCTAACCTGTAATCCAATTACAATGTTAAAAAGCTCTTAATAAAATATGCATCTATTGAGAGTATCTCCAATGATTTAGATGCCTTGATGTTTAATCACACTGCCTCCACCAGAAATTATTTGGCACTGGCACAGAGGATTTGTCGAGTTAGTTTGCAAATATGGTCCAGCAACTGTTGTAATTCTCAGTCCTTCAGAAGAGCTAAATTTAATAATGAATTCATTAGTAAAACCATAACAACTACGCTGTATTAATCCATTTGATTCACGTTTTGTTGGACCAGGTAAATATCTAAAAGATGTAGGACATGATTCCATGATGACTGGAATTTAAGAGTCCGGATTGCATAAAACATACAGAGACCATACACAGTATGGGATTAAATATATTGCCATAAAGGAAAGTCACTAAATATATGCACCAGGTTAGTGTTTTCAAGTTTTTCATTTTCAATTTTCATTTAACTGCTTCTTGCAGTCACAGAAATGTGTCTCTGATTAATTATAGATGTAAATCGGGTACTGCCAGATGGTACGAAAGTTTTCCAAAGACGACTTTGAAATATTATAATATAAACTTCTGTATAACTAAGCTAAACTAAAAATACTTTTTACATATACATACGCCTGCAGCAAATTAATATTTATTTTTGTACAGTTGCCATGACTGGTCGCAAATGACTCACTGTTGAACAGCCAGTTCAATCATTCAATCAACCATCTTTTGTTACTATTGGTGAACACCTAAATTATTATATTGTGCCATAATTTTATAAACAGATCAAAATGAATCTTCCGAGGCAAAAAAATGATGTGAGTTTAAAAAAGTGAAGAGTTTCAAACTTCTGCTGCAGTTAACTGAGCTATATTTTTAACACTAAGGTTGTGCATAAGCAGAAATAACAGCCTGAGATTCAGCAAGAGCAAAAATATGTTTGTTTTTTTAACATTGTTAAACCTAGTAACACATTTTTCTTTGCTGCTGTCTAAGTGATGTAACTCCGTTCAGCTGATAGAAGGGTGGACTACAACCGTCCGTTTCTCATATTCATAGTGAGAGTTGTTTTAAAATGATACAGACTGAACTGTTTAAGGTTTTACTGTACTGGGGGAATTTTTTAGAATAGACATTTTACTTGTTTTAGTGCTTTAATTGCCCATTTCACCAGTGTAGCTATATGTGGACGTTGCAGGCTTGTTTCAGACTCACTGGAGTCCTCCTCACAGATGAAGCACTCCTTAACAGAGGAGGCACTTCTGTCAGCTGTCACCCTCAAACACAGTACCTTCCTCTGGCTGGAGCTGCACTTACGAACCAGAAAAGTCTGAAAATACCAACAAAAATATAGTAAGCATATTTGGAATAGCTTTACTTTATTCTGCGTGAATTTTAAAAATGCATACAATCAACAAACAGAGGTGAAGCTGAAGCTGGATCTAGAATATACAGCTACAGCTTTTAATTTCTTCCAATTGCATTAACTTTATTTGACGTTTTATCAAGTGAGACAGTGTCAGGAAATCAATCTGTAAATAATAATAAAAACCCCTATAGCATCTATCGTAAAAGGAAAATAATATAAGGAAAAAGATATGTGCTTAGTTTCAAACTGACAGCTGAATATCTACCCCAATAGGCTCTCTGAGCAGGATGTATAGAGCTGAGTCCTGGTTGAGTGACAGCTGCAGCCACACAGGATGAGTGAGCAGCAGGCGGTCCAGGACACTGAACGCCCGCTGCAAGCCTGCCTGGGTGCGGTCCACTTCCTGCATCTGAAAGACACAATCAGACAAGCCCAAACATCTGTCATTTATTTGGAGGAAAGCATATTAGACATCAAATAGATAACAAGTCTTACTGTCTTCAGAAATACTGGCTTTATGGTATATCCAGCTGTTCTTGCTTTAGATGAAAGAACATCAAGAAATAGAATGACTAAGCATTGTAAGCTAACCTGACCAACCTTAAAGCCATGGATAACAAATTCCTCCATAATAGATGACAGAGGCCGATCAAGTCATACAGAAACCAGCTACCTGAGGTTATTGCTGTCAGGGTTCTGACCATTCTTAAAGTTTTTTTTTTTAGTTTCACTGTAAATTTGTGTCTTTGTAGTTGTTTTTTTCCCACAATGTTACTCTCTAGCTACGTTCACACTGCAGGCCTTGATGCTCAATTCCGATTTTTTTTGTGAAATACGACTTTTTTTGTGTTGCCATTCACATTTCCAAACATATGCGACTTGCATGTGATCTCCTGTGTGAACTGTATTCATACAACCTAAGCATCCCGCATGGGCAGTAGAGGACGCAATGACGTAACAAGCAAGCGTGCTCTATGTTTACGGAATTAAACATGGATGGTAGTGCTGGAGAACATCTAGCTATCCTTCCCAACTTTAAAACTCAATCTTTCCAAGATGGTTAAACATAAATACTGCTCTCCACATTATCGTCCACCATTGTTGTTGTTTTACTTGCCACTTCTGCATAGCAAGACCCAGAATAGTGACCTATGTCGGGTATTATTGGCGTTCAGGCCAGATGGATGCGACCTGGCCATTCAGACACAGGTCGCATTTGGAAAGATCAGATTCATATCGGATTTAGGACCGCATAGCCAAGTGGCCTGGGTCGCATTAGAAAAAATCGGATCTGTGTTGTTCAGACTGTCATGAAAAGATCAGAAACAGGTTGCATATGGCCAGAAAAATCGGATTTCGGTCACTTCAGGCTTCAATGTGAAGGTAGCTTCTGTTTTCCCCCTTGTGCCACTTTCTTTTCCACCTTCTAGCTCTTTCTTTCCACAGCTGCTCCCAATCAACTGATTACTCCACTCTTGGTTCTGTTTCCCCGATATATCCTCCTCTGCAGCTCATCAGTGCTGGTTTATCTTTATTTCTTTGCTCCCCGTGTGTTCTTTCTCTCTGGCGTCTCCTGTTTTTTTGGTATCTTGTATTCAGTTATTGGATTTTGTTTCTGTTGTCCTCTTTAATTAAATTTTCAAGAACTCATCTGTGCCTCCTTATCTCTGCATCTGGGTACTCACCCAACTTCAACCAACCCTGACAATTGCAGCTAAATGTGCCTTAGAAGTTATTGAAAATAGAAATCTTTTACATTTTGGTTTTATTTTGACAGTACTATTGATATTCTAAGAACTCTTGCTTGTTTAACAGTGAAATGTATTATTTCAAAACTATTTCTATCGTGTCTGTATATAAATTTCCTTTGTTGGGCTGTCTTCAAACTAAAGGCCTAAAAGCCCAGCCAATAACATTTTAATAACCATGGAAAGTGTTGACTTTATTTATCTGAGCTCCCATTTTCAGCAAATGAAGATGTCTGTCTCTCTGTTAATCAATTGGTAGAAGAATAGTCTAGAGATATTGCATCCTGTACAACTTCCAATTCCCTATTTGACTTAATAGATGCATTTTTTTTGGTTATATCTCTATTTGCTGAAAGCTACAAATAAGCCTTCAGTAAACTAACCTCTGAAAGGATGACTTGTGAAAATTATTATAACAGTAACCACGAAACAAAAGGGCTTGGATTGGATGATCTGCTTGAAGGTTGGATCAAATGTGTTCACAAGCACCCAGGAGGAACATTTGTTGTAATTCTGAATTAGGGCCGAAACAATTTACCAGATTAATCTTGTTTAATTGATTATTTAAATAATCCTCAACTAATTTAGTAATTGGAGTGACTGTAAACATGCCTTTAGTTGACTGTAACCCATCATCAGCAGCAATTATACCAAGAATGTAAAAAAATATATAAACATTTTGCATTAAAGATTAAAAAAATGTTTTCTGTCAATATGCTCTATCCAGAAGTCCTCGGGTGGAAAAGTTTTTATTTAACTTGGTTTAATTTAGTAAAAAAAAGCTTCTTTAAGGAACCTTTGGCTATCCGATTATTAATCAGTTAATCGAAAAAAATAATTGACAGATTAATCGATTTGCAAAAAAAAAAAAAAAATTAGTTGTAGCCCTATTCTGAATGTTGTTTAAGCGTGCACACCACTGCTAGGATCGTGTGATTTAAGGTGCTACTTAGTGCTCTTACATGAAGCAGTCACAAAGTTTGCTTATTAGTTGTCTATTTTCAGTGTACTGAAACCAAAAACTTTAATATTTTCTTGCTGTTTCCGCTCTAGAAATGTATGGCGTGTGCCAGGTAAACTGATGTTTGCACTGAGGTTATTAACCTTTATGGCACATTGTCACATCAGTAAGAAATTATTACCTGCTGTCTTAAAGTTGTTGTTTTTTTATCTCATATTTGTCTTCTGCAGGAATTTATGTCAAGCTGCATATTATTTAAAGCCGCTTTGCTACCTTCTGTTCGCTCCTCATTTTGCCAAAATGTTGTTCTGTGTGCTGAGAGCTGCACACCTCTCCTAAGTCTGTCTGTCTTCACTGCAACAGGAAATGCCATTAAAAGAAGCTCATTCTGGACGTATGTACCTATTCACGTACCTAAAATGAAACAAGATCGCTTTGTCTGTTTGCCTATTTTTGGCTCTTTTAATGTTAGCGCTCAGTCATAGCTTTACTTTTTCCCTCTAAGACCGGCTTGATGCTGGATGTCACAGCGCGTGGGCTGTCTGCAAACTCTTGCGAGCGTAGCAGCAGATGGATGCTATGGCAACCTGGGCCTACACATCCTACCAGGCATTCCCACTCAGTGAAACACCCTTTCTCCAACAAGTTGGAGGTGCACGCGCATGCACAAACCGCAAAACACACAACTTTGCACAAGCATCGATCCACTTTGCCAAAGGGTGATAGGTTTTCCGGAGTGCAGAGGTGTTTTATTTATTTATTTTTTGAAAGAAAATAACAATGAGCACAAAAACCGAAGCAAATCAGAGGTCAGAGGCAGCAACCTGCATCTCTGGCATTAAAGGAAGCACCATTAATATTTTCTCTGCTTAATAACCTATTTGAATCTTTTTCCCACACAATGCTTTCCATCACCTCTTTGGCCCCCATTACATAACCGTCCACTTCAACAGGGGAAACTAGTTCTTTCTGCCACTTACAGTTACTGAAAACAAATGATAACATAAAAATACATTAATGTTGTGCAGAGGTGTCAAGTAATAAAGTACAAATACTTTTTTTTTTACCTTACTTGAGTGGAAATTTTGGCTGTCTACACTTTACTGGAGTAATTCTTTTTCAGACAACTTTGTACTTCTACTCCTTACATTTTTTTTGCAATTATCTCTACTTTCAACTCCTTACATTTTGTAAACTAACTCTTGAATTTTGTAACATTTAAGCTGATTTTCGTTATGGCCTGTTGGTATTAAAAAAAAACAAAAGCCATCAAAATAATTTGCTTCATCCAGACAATTTCTTTGTGACTCTGTCCTGCACCAACTTGTTTTGCCACATATTAAAATAAATAGATATTCAAGATGATGCAAATTTAAATTTGACACTGTTAACATTAGTTTTAAAACCAAAAATTAAGTATAAGGAAATTATCATCCAGAATTGTAGAAAAATATTTTTTTTTAATAGGATAGTGCAGTAAAGTTAGTCAGTAGGTAAGTGCAGTAAGTTCTGTCCTTAACATTTTTTTCCTGCATTATTTCAAGTTTTATACTTTAGGTAGTTTTAAACTTTACTTGAGTAAAAAGCTTAAGCAGTTTGGTCAAATGCCACTGGGGAATAAATTACAGCTTATACAGAATAGAGCTGCTCATGTAGCACTCAGGTGCAGCTACAGGAGAAACATAATAGTAATGCACAAATATCTTAATTGGTTGTTGGTCGAAGACAGATTGTTGTATTCATTGTTAATTTTCATAAGATGTATTTCTAATTCAAAATTTCCTTCTGTTTTGTTCGAGCATATTTCTTTTACTGTAGAAAATCAGCAGTACAGTAGTAGACATGCAACTAAAGGTAATTTTACTTTACCCAGAATAAGAACAAATGACATAAAAAATACAGTTGTGTTTAGAGGTATGAAAGAATGGAATAATCTGCCAAAACATATCCTGCTTGCTAATAATATCAATACATTTAAATCATATGTAAAACAGCATCTATCAGAATAATATAACTGAATGTTGTATTTATTTATATTTGTGTGCGAATATGTATGTATATCTGTAGGTATGTTTACAGGTGTAAGTGTAGAATGTGCTTTTTATTTTTGTCTATATATTTTATGCCCGCATGAGGGTACATATGTATGTTGATATGTGTATATATATTATCTTTTCCTTTCATTTATTTTTGTATTCTTTGTTTTGTTTTTAATGTATATATATTTTCAGGACCCCAGGAAGAATAGCTGCAGCATAGCTGTAGCTAATGGGGATCCTCCCAATAGAAACTCAAGCTGATACTCTAACTTCTACAAACAGTAGCATTTATAGTTCTACTTAAAAATAAGGATTAATACTTTTGACACCTTTGGTGTCGTGTCACAATTTCAGGTTTGTGCTGACTGCATCGAGAGATAAAATAAATCATCAGGTACAATTTAATTTAAAGGATCAATGGAAAGTGAAACAGTATCCCCTACAGAGCCATTCATCAGCAATAACTCAGAACTTAAGGTCTGTAGGACTCTAAGAAAGCGTGAAGGATAGAGTCTTCTTGCAACAGTCAGACTTGTTTAGAACCAGATAAGAACACACTCAGCGTGCAAAGTTCATGGAGTCACATATACAGTCGAACACTAACTTGTATGACACTTGATGTGGGTATGCATTATATGATTGCATGGGGCGCCGCACTAAA